GAGTAGAATAGTAAAACAGGCTGCTTCTGGTCCTCATTAAGTGACGGCCCAATTCAACAAAATGGACCCAATGTTTTACATAGAATAATCCGATCCAATTAGAAGTTCATACAAACAAAGGCATCATTCAATCAAATAATATCTTATCTGGATTTTTTTTTTTTTTACAAAGGGAAATATGGAATAATTTTTTCCTTTTTTTAACAAAGGGATATGTGGAGGATGGGAAAAATTAAAGAAAAATAAAAAAAAATTAAGAGAAACAAATCCAGATTAATTTCAGTCTGGTTATCACTTGCACTGAATTTTATTGATTAATTAAAGCCTACCTAAGGAACAATTAATTCAAATTAATTTCAATCAAGTGATCTTATTTTCTCCAGCAAATCAAAGTAGATGATATCATTGGAAATTGAATTACTCATATTGGCTGAGTTTTATCTTTGATATATCAACATACAAAATAAAACATAATGATTTGATATTAAAGAACGTCATGCATATAATATCATGTCTAACTTAGTAAAAAAAGTCAATCATATAATGATAATATTATAGTTATAATGTAGTGTACAATTATAAACTTACAAACCTACATGATATTACACTCTTATTGGTATTAAATAAATATGACGTAATATTTAACAAATGAATTCATAAAATATTAAATGTAGACTCATGAATAAAAAAAATTAATTATATTAAAACACATTATAATGTAACTTTACAATATCATGTGACATTATAAATATATCATTTTTTTATTTAGATTGCATGATAAGAAGCAATCCTCTTTTATCCCTTAACTCATCCTACCACATTCCATATAATTCGAAGTTAAAATCTTTTATTTCATTAGAAGATTACTATTGAGTTATTTAATTCATTGATATAAGTATATCATTTTTCATTATATAATAATATATCAAAATTATAAATTTACAGATTATGTAACATTATAATTACTAGTTGGATAACCCCCATGTTGCAGGGTGTAGTGTCAAGTGTAACTTTGAATGGACCAATTTTAATGAATACATAGATATTATGATTTGTAAAGTTACCGGTAAATATAACACAAGTTATAGTTCTAAAGCTTTCACAAAAATAATAATTGATGGATTCGGATAGAGAAGAGAGAATTTCGTGCGAGGCTCTTAGATTTCGTTGTCTTCTATATTCCTAGTTTTGTGCAAACTAGAAAATAAAAAGGAGAAAACAATAGATGAAATAATGAAAAAGGAAGAATGGCTCAACGGAGTGTACAATAATAACCATAATAAAGTCATCACATATTCAAGGTCAAAGTTTAAAACTTTTAATTATACACAATCAAATTGCTCAAATGAGTGGAGTATCTAATATAATGCAATTCTTATGTAAAACTCCCATGTCATCAACATTTTCCCAAAACACATTTTCACATGGTATAAGGCATATCAACCACAGATTCATAAAACACTATCAAGGACAAATAGTGAAGTCCATTCTGTTAGTGTATCTTGAGTGATTCCTTCATTTATTAGGTATGTCAAATGTAAAATAGCCATAGCAAGAAACTAAACAAATTGAAATAAATTCTACTAAACTTTGTTCGTGGCTCCTTTCATGAATATATGTAATCACTATAAATTAAATTAAATGCTACTTGACTCTACGCATGGTTGCTTTCTTGAATATATTTATCACTATAAATTAAGGCAAATCTACTATAGCAAGATTGCATCAAACTAAAATAGGACAAATAACCAAGCTAAGCTATAACTAGCCGCATGAGGTCCAAAGAGGGTAGGGTCTAAAAGTAAGTTTCTTTCTAAGCTAGCTTATGTTTCTTGCTAAGCAAGCTAATTCTATACCTGCAATCCCACACAATGTTAAACCCTTTTTAGTATCATTGAAATAAGAACAACTTGAATCTGATATCAATCCATGAGACCAGAAGTACTCACCACTTGAATTAAAATCAGTAGCAAATTCTAAAATTGGATTGCCCAGTTGCAACAAAGAGGATTTTAGATCTTTCCATAGCTATAAATCCAAAAACTTAAAAATTGTTATGTCAATACAGCAACTCCTTTCAAATTAAACTACTTTAACTTCTTGTGGAACTCAAGCATAAGTTAAGCTAGATGGGTACATAATGATGGCCTAGTTTTAGACCCAAAATAACTTTTAATACTCATCTATGTTAAACATCTCTGAAATGAAAGATGTGAAGTAATAAATTTGCAGTATCAACATAACTACTTCTATTCCTGTAGTGTGGACACTTGACGAAACAATTTTGCAAGAACAGTAGATTGTCCCTGGCTGTAATAATAAACTCATCAAAAAAATAAGTTAGAATAAGAGAACACAAATTGGGGGGTAAAAATGAAAATAAACAAAAAATAAAACAAAGGAATAAAGAATTCAAAATCTTCCCAACTAGTGTCCTCTCTCTTCTCTTTATCTATATATAGAAGAATCCTACTTTCTCAAGACAATCAATATAAAAAACCGTACTTTTATTTCTCTTCTCATTAGATTATGATCTAGTTATTATTGCAGTACACCAGTACCCTCCAACACTCATTCAATAATCTCTCCTTTTCTCTTCTTTTTCTCTCTTCACACATTCAAAGCATCATGAAGCTGAAAACTAGCAAATGAACAACCAAACTTAGGGTTAAGCTTAGGGTTAAGTTTGAAGTATTTTTAAATTCTCATGCTTGATGATGGACAGGGATGAGGCACTTGAAAGCCACTGGTGCGCCATTGCTGATCTAGAAAATGCAAGAAAATGATACCCTACACAATCTATAAGATAAACAACATAGCCAAAGAGAAAAATTAGAGGTTTCAAATCAGATTCATAATCATTAGTCTAAAGAAAAGGCTCATTCAACAACTCTTTAGCTCAGAGCCTCACAAACCGGTTTTTACCCCCACAAAATAAAGCATGTCAATGGAATCCAAGCACTTTACCATGATTAAAAAATAAAGAATAAAAACCATGACAGTTTAAAGAGAATCAAATTTTCAAAGATAACTTTCTTGTCAATTTAAGCTAGTGCATTTACAATATGGACATTCAAAGGTAATTTCGAAAATGCACATCCCAAATGAATAAATGCTAACCATTTTCATTACAACTTATAAGCTTCTTTATATAATCCATTGAACAAAACCAAAAAAAAAATTAGAAAAAAAAAAATCCACAACCATTACCTGGTAATAGTGCTAAGAATTGTAGAATGATAGCAAAGAAGCAAGGGTCTATAAGTGCCAAATGTTGTAGAAAAAGATTAAAAAAATCCATTACAATTGCAATTTTTCCAGAAAATCTTAAGGAAAGAGAAAAAATGTTATCATATTAAACCCCAAAATCAAAATTAACCCGCCAAATTAACATTTTATACACCTTACATAGTCATTAAAGAGACAAATTGAGGAGAAATGATAAGAACAATGACCTTATTGACCTCCACCTAACTGCTGGCAACCACTAAAGTGCAAGTTAGCCATGAAAATGAAAAAATTGGATGAAATATGAGAAAGCATCTGGAGTAAAGAAAATATTAAATCAGAAAAGATAAAAGAAAGCCAGCCTCTGGCAAGCATGAATGGAAGATGACAATTCATGTTTCTAATCCCACCATGTGACTAAAAAGGAAAAACCCAAAAACCAAAATTGCTTGGCGTCAACAAGAGCAGATGCAACGGTATAGCAAACTCTGAAGAATGCACCTTGAGCCACAGATCGAGAGCCCTGAAAGATTTGGGATTAAATCCCTGAACAGATTTCCTGTTATTATCAAATATGCAGCCATCCCCATGTCTCATTACAGTCAAGAGAGAGCTCAAAGTAAAATAACAAAAACAAATAAATTGCATATTATAGGTAAAATAACAAAAACAAAGAAATAACATATTACAATCAAGTAAAAGAACAAAGACAAAGAAATCACATATTGCCGCCAACATAATAACACAAATACACCTAAATGCAGAACTATAATAAAACAATGTGTCAAAGAATTCAAACGCAATCGTAGACATACCAAATCGAACAAAAAAAGATCGATCGACCAACCAATTCCAGCAAGAGAGATGCCAACCCAACACACAGATCCGACAATAACTAAGATGATCAATCCCCCACATGCTTAAACCAAAGAAAAAATGATAAATAAAAAGACTAAAAAAATTTAAAAAGAAAACTTTCACCATACCATTGGTGGAGATCCGGTCACCAAATTCTCTTCTCATTCTTCCCAACAGCACTCTCTCACATGCTTCTGGGTTTCCTACTTTTCCAATGGATCTCATTTAGATTCGACTCACGTCCACCATTAGAGAAGACCCATAACCGGTAGTAATCTCTTCCTTTAGAGTCTCGACCAGCACTTTTACATTCTCTCCTTCTCTTTCTCAACCTCTTTCAAACCAGTAGCAGATCTTCGTCCCTCTCCACATTTTTACCACAGAAGATGGAGCATCCAGACACAAGTTTAATATCACTTTGCTCAGGTGCACAGACCTCTTCGAGCTTTCCTTGTCCCTCTCGCTCACTCTATCTTCCTCTCTTAGGCTTAAGAACTCTATCACTGCCCTTGTTCTTCTGGTGCAAGAGTTAGTGCAAGATTTCCACGACCATAAAGTCCTTATCTTTCCCTTCCGATGCTCAAATCTCAAAATCCAGCTCAAACTTTCCTCTTCCATGATCGACCACCAAAGATCAGATTTTCAAACACCAAATCAAACGTAGAAAAGGAAATGATCATTAGAAACACAGAAAAGCGAAAAGACCCAAAAACCTTGTGAGAAAGGGAGAAACAAAGCAGGAGGGCAAAACAGAGAAAACTATCTATGTTAACAATGGACAAATTATTTGGTAGCAAAATGACCAAAAAGCCATTGCTAACAAGTGAAAGGCAGGGAGAAACATCGAAGGGCAAAATTGAAAGAAAAAAAAATTGTGAGAGTAGAGGGGAGTCACTGTAGCATTTGTGAGAGGGGAGCCTTCCTCTTATTTGCTATTTTGATATCATTTTCGTTTATTTAATTCAAGTGCTTCATTCTCAATTTTCCACAGGCAGAAAACAACCAAATAAATAAATCAGATTATTAATTAAAAATAAAAAATATGAAAATAATTAATTTTCTATTTTAAAGAAATTGAATATTAACTTATGGATAAGATCCTCTTAACTATAAAACAGAATGGAGAATTCTCGCAAATTAGGACTAAAACTAAAGAATTCCAAAGACAATGGCGTGGAGGTGGGCTGCTGGCCAACAACGAGCTTTTCGGTGTTGACGGTTCTCCTGAGACTTATGACAGCAACCACGGCGACGCCGATGGTCATAACGATTCCAAATCTCGGGTACGCATGTTGGTCGATGAGTTTATTTGAGCATCTCTTTCGTTATAATTTCTTTCGTTTCTTTTGAAAATTGATTAATCCATTAAGGATTTCCTTTTAGTTGATTCCTTTATCTCTTGCTTTGAGACTTGCACTGGAGAATGCGTCTTGCTCCGAGTTTAGATTTTGGAAGCAATTTTGGTTTTGGGGGCGAATTATGTATATATATATATATATATATATTTGGAATTGATAATCTGAAACAATTGGCTAGACTTTTAATGAGAGGCTTTTCATTGCAATTTTGAATAGGAATACATGGTTACTTTCTTTAATGAAATTGCTTGGGTAGATGATCTACCACAAAATAGTAGCAAGAATTGAAGCACAGCTCAATGTAATAGAACCAAGCCTGCCTCCAATAAGGGTTTATGTAGAGAACTGCAGCAATAGTTACCAACACCATTATGTATCATACAATAAAACTCACACAGAATACCTCGATATCAATAGGACCATCTTCTTCTCTACCTTGGATTGGACCTTTTGGCATCAATGGTGGTGGACTTGGCGCTGAGCAACTTTTCATTGGTTCCCCACAAAGCAAAGGATTACCTTGGTAACAACCTTCATCAAATGTTGCAAATTGTTTAACCCTTGCCGGTATCTTGCCTGATAAGTTGTTGTATGACACACTAAAAATAGACAAGAAATATAACTCAACAAGCTGTGGGGGAATTTCCCCACTCAAATTGTTGTAGGAAAGATCCAAGCTCTCAATTTGCACAAGGTTAGAAAATGTAGATGGAATTTGACCAATCAAGTTATTATGCGATAGGTTTAGTACTCGAATCTTATTGAGGTATCCTATTTCAGAAGGAATTTTACCAGTTAGTTTGTTGCAAGAGAGATCCATTCCAGACATGTAGGCAAGAATTTTTCCCTTGTAAGAATATGTCATATTCTTTGTTGTGAAATGCACTGGTTCATTAGTAGAAATTGGCATAGCCTCCCAAACAGCAGGAGCAGGTGACACAAGTGACAGAACAGCTAGATTAGAAGAATAAGCACCATACTCCCCGTAGTATGCCTCATCAAAAGTGGTAATATTTAGGCAGGAGGGTATATAACCCGAAAGATGGTTATGAGATAGATCAATCAAGCTCAATTTTTGCAACTTGCATAGCTGAATTGGTATTTCACCATCAAGATTATTGTTCTTCAAGATAAGATAACTCAACTCACCAAGCATGTTGATGCAATTCGGGATGTTACCACTTAGCTGGTTGTCACTAAGATCTAGCGTTACTAGAGAAGAGCTCTTACAAAACTGTGTTGTCAGTGATCCTTCTAGCCTGTTTTTGGATAAATGAATATGATTTATCAACTCTAGGCCGAAACAAGTTGGTAGACTCCCTAAAATATTGTTATTTGAAAGGTCTAGAATATCAAGATTTTGAAGCTGACAAAAGTCAATAGGTATTGGACCTTCTAAACCATTATTGGGCATGATAATTTCACTCAATGATAACATATTACCCATCCACCTCGGGATCATTCCAAAGAGATTGTTATTGCTGAAATCTATTGAATACAAGTTGGAGCAATTAGATAAGCTTCTTGGGACACTTCCAGAAAAGTGATTGCCATCCAAATGTAATTCCTCCAGTTGGAATAAGCTAAAATTTTCAGAGAAAATTTGGCCTTGCAAATTGTTG